ACAGGCTTTATCTCTACTTTGGCCACCCCTCAATACGGCAGGCCACTTTGTCCTCGCCAAAGCCAACACTTAGAAGAATGGGAGACGGGCGAGCCTCAGCTCAGCCTCGACCCCCACTCTCACGTCGATAGGTCATCTTGCTAGTTACCCAAGGAGTAAGGGAAAGAGAGCCAGGCGAGCCCCATGCTCCGCTCCGACCTCCCCCCATCACAGGCCTCTTCGGCCTTGCCTAAGTGAACACTTAGAAGGGCGTCAGGCTAGGCAAGCCCCGGCCTAGCCGCGGAGGCTTCGCCTTGGCCACCCCTCCACCATGCCTCTAACGTACAAAGTAAAGTAAACTGAAGAGAACTACACTTGTCTCATGCTGTGATTTTTCTCTTGGAGAGGCAATCACCCTTCGATAACAAAAGCATATGTGCAAAAACAATGCAAAAAATACAAGGAAAAACAACACAGCAAAGAACAAGTACAACATTTGAGGCAAAGATAAAAAATGTCACTGATTTTCATTATGTACAAAATTTTTTTGGCTTTACAAAATTGTTTCACGGCCCCTTAAGTCGAATACATGTACATAGTCAAAAAAAAGAAGAAAGAGAAAAAGCTTGGCATAAGCCTTGCCACCAACCGGAGGAGGAAGTGCAGAATCAGTAGCCTCTTCGGGAGAGTCAGGGATCACCTTCAAAGACTCGGTATCAAAGTCTGGAAGCACCGCCGCAAGTGCCTTCTTGGTGTCCTCAATCCCGTCCAAGTAAAACCCGGAGGCGAGATTGGCCAACTCATCGGCCCGTTTCCCTGCCTCCTGGGCCCTCTTCTCAGCATCGACTGCCTTCTGTTCGGCCTCCGCAGCCCTCTTAGCTGCCTCTTCGGCCCTCTTCTTTGCCTCATCCACCCGCTTATTCGCCTCAGCGGTGTCTGCCTCGGCCTGCTGGAGACGCCGTTCGGCCTTAGAAATGAGGCTCCCTATGCGAGCCCTCTCCATTTGCTCTTTGGAGAGGATATCCTGCATCTTCTTCAGCTTCTCTTCGGCCTTATAGTGCCTCCTTGGGGTGTCACCGGCAGAACTCCCGGTGCGGGCCATCTTCTGTTGCGGTTGATCCCCTTCGGCCCCCTCGGCCAGCCTCTTCCTTCCTCGACCTCGTCGGCAAGCCTCCTTGGCACCTCAGTCAGCTACTGTTGCGCTTGCTCGTCGCGCCCCGACTGGCCCTCCTCGATGGGCCCCTTCCTCTTCGCGGGGATCTGTGGAGTGGCTCCCTTCGGGGGAGCTGTTGAAGAAGTCCCTTTGGCAAGGACCTGTGCTTTCGTCCCCTTGGCAAGGACCTGACAGGAAGACCCCCCCTTCGCAGGGGCCGATGCCTTCTCTTTCTGGCATGCCCCCGACGGGCCTCTAAGGCGTCTGTCTGCTAGCCTTCACCCGCTCCTTCTGTATTACGTGGGCATGGTCAAATATGGCCTTCCGAGCATCCATCAGCACATCTGCAAACAAAATAGCAGTTAGTACCATTACACAAAGATGAAGATGAGGAAAATGTGGAAAGGAATTGCGTGGCCTATCCTATCGAGGGGGCAGGGCTGAGCCCTGCGAAAACCAATGGAATCTCCTCCTCCACCAAGGGTTGGGCTCGGACTCTCCCCAGATTGAGCAACCGCGCGAGATTGTCACTCTCATTCGTAAGCAAGGGGCACTTTTCTCCGCAGACAAGCTGGCCTCTCCCCACCCCGACTTCAAGAACCAGCCCTCGGGACAAGACAAAAAGAAGTTTTTACTCTTCTAGTTGTGTACGGAAGAAGGGTTATCTATGGACTTAGACTTGCGGGGCTGGAAGTAGAAGACTAGCTTCGGAAGTGTGCTTCCTCAGCGCGAAGACCGCTTGGAAGAGCTTCGGTGTCAGCTCCACCCCCTGGAGACGGGTTGCCACCAGCATCGCCACAATGGTTCCTATCTTATTGGGCGCCAGTTGACTAAGGGTAATCCCATACACCCTTAGCATGTTAGTGATCAATGGATGAAGTGGGAGCCAAAGACTGAATTGGAGGAAGTATTGATAAACGCAGATCTCCCCCTCCTTGGGAGTTTACGGCCGATCACCCACCTCGGGTGCCCTTACTCCATAGAACGAAGGGATGAAGTATTGCCTCGTCAGGGCCTTGACCCGATCCCAGTCCAGAGAACCTTCAAACTCTAGGCGAGAAGGATCAGTCTCGGCCGCCGCCCCGGCAACACTCTCAACCCTCGTCCTGGGGACAAGGTCTGGGTCCTGCTCCCCCTCGGCCTCCTTCGGCGTCACAGATGCGGCGCTCTCACAGGGAGGGTCATTGCCTCGGCGGATAACTTCAGCTCCCCCGTAGGTTACCCTCTCCCGAAGCACCTCCACCTCGCACTGAAGGAGAATAGAAACAAAAGGGCTTAGAGGGGAAGGGGGAGAAGGGGTTCGATTGGAGCTCCCCTCTGATACATTCGTTCATAGCACTCAGGTCCAGAATTTGAGAAAGACAGTGTTGGAAATTACCTAAAAAGGGGAGTGGAAGAAAAAGAAGTGAAAGTAGAATGTTGAAGACTAGAGAATCTGGGAGTTAAGTTCACTCGAAGGCAAAAGCACTTGGAGGCAAAATGACAAGAATTCTGCTATCGAAGCCCCTATTTAAAGAAGAACGAACGACCCAGATTTCTCGAGATCCAGCAGCTGAGAAGCCACCGCCTCCACAACCCAATCATGGCGCGCCGCGTGACGCTCAGCCTCGGAAGGCGAAGCGATGCGCTGATAACGACTCAGATCATTTCAAATCTAACGAAGGAGAAGCACCTCCGATCCAGCCGCGCCGCACCCCCTTAGCGCTCACCCTTGGAAAACGAAACGATGCTCAAGACGGACCAGCACGTCTGCCCAAAGCGACCTGTTCCCGTGAGCATGAACACCAGTTCAACTGGAAAGCTGTCCCGCACACGGATCCTCGGGCCTCAAAGGCCCCTCAGCCTAAACATCCTTCGGCTTCACAGGTCCTCGGCCGAAACAGCCTACGACTCCCTAGGTCCTTGGCCCAAATGACGGCACCAGAGCATCCGCACTAAGCGCGCCTCCCGGGTCACTTGTTCGAAGCAGCAGTGCCATAGACCACTCGCAACCTCGACCCAACTTACGAAGACGAATCAGACAGAGATGCGAAAGAGGACACCACTGTAGGGTACACCTCGGCTACCGGGCCTACTGGCGCTCACCATTACTAGTCCCATCAGCCGAAACCAAATTTTTCTCCTCGGCCTCGGGAGTGGGAGGCAAGTGATGTGGGGTGACCCAACCCATCCCATTCAGGGCTGGGAGGCCCAGCCCACGAGTGCCAAATCTAAAATGAGATCCGCTACAACAGGGGTTACCCTAATCCCCTCATACGGAACCAATTGCGGGGTCCTTCTAAGCCTATTGTACGCTTCTGTACGGCTTCCATCGCAGGCGTTCATCCGCACCTAACTCCAAGCAACTAGGGGTGCCCCCTCTAGGTAAAAGGAGGAATCAGATACAATCTACAGTCCGAATCTGGAACTGGACTCACAAACTATATTCGGATTCCCCTCTTCGTGCCCCGTACTAACTTGAACGTCGGAGACTACCTCGAGTTATTACGCAGGGCCTCTGACGTATTCAGTACCTCGGCCACCTATGTAGGGGCGAAATTAATTTGCTGTCCTCGGCCAATCCGAACATCAACACAATCCAATCTTTTTTTTTATTCTTTTTTTCTCTCTTGAAACTAATGTTCCGTAGGAAGAAGAAGAGGAAGAATGGGCCGAAGCCTCTGTTTTGTATTTGAATTAGAAAGCTATGTAAAAAGTTTATTCGAATATGCGAATATGACAGACCTTTTAAATCCTTCGCTTCCATCTGCAGATCCACCGATTACTCCTTAGCTTCCCTCACTGTGTTAGGGATTATAGGGGATTCGATCATGGGATTCAAAACGCGGGCACGATGAACCACCGGCGACCTTGAAGACGAAACTGGTTTCCGTAGCAACGACTCAACTGGAAGGAAGCGGCAGAGGTGGTGCTTGGACAGAGATTTCGGGAAGAAAAAGTCTCGAGCAAGGAAGCAACCATGTATTAAATGTGAGGGGCTTTTTGGTAAACATTTAGGTAACATATAATGGGGGTGGAGTTATAAAAACCAATTTATGAATTGATTGGCACTGTAATTTCAGCCACCGTACAAGGTTAGACGAAACTGTGAATTCTGCGATGGAGAGATCGATAAAAACACCTAAATGCACAGCAGCCGGCCCTTCAGCCTCTTGCTTTTTAGGTTATATATAAGATTAAGTATTTTCAAATTTTAATTTAACCAGTTGCGCTAACGTCAGCCCCTAAAAAATAGGATATATGTTGATCAAACCCTCGATATGCATCTTCAGACGTATGGGGGTGTATGAATATTTTGAACCTTGAGCCTTGCAAGTAAGGCTGCACTGTTTGCGATACAAACATTATATCATTGAATCGGGGTATTTCGACTTCGTGAGTATTTGGCTGCCAAACAAAATTGAATCGTTTAAGAGGAGAATGCATTGTGAGGTTGGATTGGGATTTGGGCTGGATTTCCCTTTTTTTTTTTTTTTTTTGATAGGTACAGCTGAGCATGGATTGAAAAACAAACTAAATAACAAAGGAACAAACCGCACCCATTTTAAATAGCACATAAATGGGTCTAACTCAACCCATTCACTTAAAATCAGAGAGAGAGAGAGAACTGCAATCAGATTCAAGTGGTTCGGAACTCACTGTCCAACTCCAACCCATTCCACATCGAGCCTGATTTCCATCTAGACATTTGAAATGGGTGGATTGGATGGGTTAGATGAGAAAAATTGCCACCATGGCACCTTCAGCGACAACAATCTTTCCATAATTAAATCAAAATCTTAACCAAACAACTTTTTACGAAAACAAATATTGCATAAGCATAAGCATATTGACCGCTAGGATTCAAAATAATTAGTTGGCGATGTGCTTAGCTACAACTACAAGTATGGACCATCTCATGCAGTCTTTTATACAAATCACATCAAAATCAAATCAGTAAATGAGAACTCACAAGTTTACAACATTTACACTCCATACTCTCATTTTAGGAAGTGAATAAACATTAGCCACGTGCAGCACGTGCAATCAGAGAGAGAGACAGGGAGAGAAAAGAGTGAGCTGAGTTTGACAAAGAGATGGAGTAAAGAACGAGAGGAGAGAGGACACAAAAGGAAAAAAAAAAAAAAAAACACCGCAGAGTTACAAGTGGTAGGGAAGCCAGATATGAAGAAAGAGAGTGGAGCTCTCTTTTGTACAAGGAATATATACATATATACAGTTATTATACGTTTATATATAGATGCCAAAGAAAAGCATTAGTTCGCTGGTTATGTCAACTACCATTTAAGTGGAACCTCCCAATTGGGATTCCTGTTGCAAGCACCATTCCTTTGTTTTCAGATATTGAAGAAGCATCTGCTGCTCAGATCTCAAGTCCCCAGCACCAGCAGTACCATACCCGAAAGCGCCTGGCTGGTAACCACAAGAAACCTTATCCAGTCTCTGTTCATTAGTACCATATACAAGAGAAAAATCTGGATACAATGATGGGACCTCCAAGTACTTCACTGGATTAACAAGTAAAGGGTTCATCCAACGATCATAAGGATTTGGCCTGTAAACATCATGACCATGAAACATTTGAAGATTACTAGGTGAAACGAACTGGGTTGGCCAAGTATTGCCATCCAACCGATCAAGATTGAGATTTCCCTGGAAGTTACGATTCCATTGAGCATAATCTGTTTTTCCTCTTAATGGGGTATATCCATTTGTGAACCCAGGGGCACCAGGATAAAAGCTGTCTGGACCCTGAGTTCCAACCCAATTTGAGCAAGTGTTTACTCCTGAGTAATTTTGCAACCCTGGCATATGCTTAATGTCCCCTAAATCCTTGCGTTCGAAATATTTATATGAATCACCAATAAACCATGTGGCATCATCTGGTAGCAATGGTGCAGATGGTAATGGGGTTGAATAAGGAGGTGGTGAATAATGAGTACTTGAAGATGCATACCCAGGACCAATGACAGAATCCCTCTCAGAAAGGAGATCATATGTACAATGTGAAGCAGAATTGGGAGAAGTTACTTTCTTATCTTGCTGACCTACTGGAATTCTACTAATGGAGAGATTGGTCATGGATGCATTAACAATGTCCTCAGTGAACCCAGTGCCATATTTACCAGTATCAGAGGATTCTTTCATTTCTGAGGTGCCTAAATTTTCTCTGTTAAGGACCCATGAACTGAGGGAGGGAGGCCCAGCAGAAATGCCATTTTCGGAAAATGGGCATGTTACTGAATCCCCTGTAAAATTATCATTGTATCTGAATGTCTTGTTGCAGCTAGAACCAGTGGTGTTTGAATTCAAACTGGATGAATCAATGCAAGGCTGGCTTTGGGCAACATGTAATGAATAACCACGATGCAAGCATTCACCAGAAGGTGGTGCAAGAGAAGTTGTAGCTTCAGGAATATAAAGTGGTGCTGAATTATATCTTGTGAGGGGGTTGAAGAGAATAATTTCTTCCTCTTCCACAGCAGCAGAGCTCCCAAGCAAATCTGCACTATTCTGATTACTTTCATTAACCAGCATTTCAGCTTCTTCTGAAGCTACATTATTCTTCTCAAACTCAGGAGGATACTGCTGTAAATCCTGTACTTTGACATCAAGGGTAGATTTATCTGCTGCTTCTAATTCTCTCCCTTGAGGCACTGTCATTTGCTCTGCTGTACAGAATTTTCTACCAATTTTATCATAAAAGATTAACTTCTGACATCCGTTTGATCTGTTCACAACCTTCATGGCAGCAAGAAAGATACGCTGAAAACGAATTTGACATTCATGTCCATCTTCAAATCCATTTCTCTCTTTAGTTGAAAAATCTAGTGGAGCATGACAATGAGTAGCTGGTGCAAATCCCCGTAATTCATGATCTTCCCATAGGGCAGTATGATCTGGAGACTCAACTTCACCCCCTTTATGGTCAAGCCGGTTCAAAAGATCAACAAAAGCTCGAAAAAAATAGCTCACTGCATTTTCATATCTTTCATCAGCCTCATTTTTTTCTGATATATCCAGTATGTCTACGAGCAACTCCGCAAATACTAAGATAGCTGGTAGAAGAGGGCAATGGTCCACAGGATCAGCCATTACACATCTATCAACGAGGTGACCCACACATATGAATGTTGAAGTTAATGCCAGTTGTATCAAAACAGGCTGCTGCATGTCCTTAAACTGTTTTAACTGTTGTAATTTTGGGCTCACACTTAGAGTATGGATGGTGAAGACAAGTATAGAGACGAGTTGTAGTGCTCTGAAAGGGCCTGTCCTAGCTGCGTGCATATGCTGATAGGACTCCAATACAGCCTTTAACCTCACATCATCAAATGATAATATAGCTTCCAATTCTCTTATTGTAGAAGTGAAAGTAAAAGAGAAATCGTCCAAACTGCAATGTAATTAGAAGAGCCAAATTCAGAACTTTGGCATTGTATAGGCCAGCATGCCAGTTTGCAATCAATCTATATGGAATTAGTTACATCACAAGTAAATGGGAAAATACACAAAAAGATTAGGCATAAAAAAATAGAAAGGAAGAATGGAGAAGATTAGATGCAGAAAAGTTTCACAAGACTTGTCTAATATACTTGCTTGAATTGATAATGTGATCCCAGTTGTTCAATGCACTTGTAATGAACCTAGTACATAACACAATAACAGCGAGCACAAATTTTTTTTTTTTTTTGATGAATAACAGAACACTTTCATTAAGATAAATTATTAAAGTACAAGGAATCAGCCATCCCAGAGGTTGAGATGGCCTAAGCCAGAGCTGGTTCTAATAAGATAAACAGTACATCAAGTAGAAATCCCATCCCCCCAGAAGAGATTCTCTCTTTTTAACCCTTGTCTTGCTAAACCATCTGCCAAACCATTGGCAGCTCTGTAAATCCACCCAACAGCAACAAATCTGCCTCTCTTTAGCTCATTGATCTCTCTCATAAGGTGTCTATACTTCCTTGGGAACTTTCCTTCATTACGTACCCACTCCACCACCACTTTTAAATTCCTTCCAATGATGATATTGCTTAAGTTGTTTCTCTTGGCCAGATTTAAAACTTGTAGCACTGCTAGAATTTGCACTCTAACTGCATTTCCATGGCCTGCTGGTCCAAAATAAGGTTCAATTATACTCCCATCATGATGTCTAAAGACTTACCTGATGCCAGAGGGGCCTGGATTGCCTCTGCTACAAACATCAAAGTTAAGCTTGATTAATAGATGTGGGGGTTCAACACAATTTGGTTGAATAGTGACTCTGGATATGACTGAGTTAGCTATCAGCCCCCAATTCCTGAAGATGTCATCAAAAGTAAAGGCGCTGAACAAGCTTAAAGACTTCACCAAATGCACAACTCTTACACAGGTGAGATCAATGATGGCTCTTCTATCCTGAAACTTATCCTTAAATAACCTTCCATTCCTTTCCTCCCAAACAGTGAGCACAAATTTACACTTTACCCAGTTACCATTAATATAAATATATCTCCAACCCTTCTAATAATGCAATGTAGACATAACGCCTAAACATCACTAAATATGATATGTTTATAAGAAATGCTTTACTGTTGTTAGTGTAGGGGTATTTATGTCTTTATACTTATGTTGAGGTTGTTGATTTGTAATATTATATTAGAACTAGTGTCTCTCACTTAAATAAGGGCACATGTGTCTTTTCCATTATATTAATAATATAAAAACATGTCTGGCCGAATGGGAGAGTAACTTTTCCCTAATTCGAACCAGACTTTTCTTCTCTCTTTTTCTCCTCCTTTCTCTCTTTCTCTTTCTTCCCTCTTTCTTC